TTTATGTAATGTTTATTGCAACGTTTTCTGCTTAGATTTATATTATTACAGATTTTACTGAGATTGTTTTTATGTCTCAGTTTGTGTGACTTCAATTTCCTTATTTATTTGTTTATGTGTGTGTTTGTTTTGCAAAACTAGAACCTTAATTTGTATGACCTACCTTTTTCATTTAAGATTACATGGTGAACTTTGTACCACATCTTGAATATTCTTTTACCACATGGATTTGAATGGCTGTCTTATGTGGAGCTTGGGCCGTGGCTCACAGTGTAAGTAGAAGCAGAAGTTGTGGGTGAAGGCACGGCCATGGCCAGACCCAGGGACAGGCCAGGGGCAGGCTACCTCAGGCCACCAAGTCCTAGACAGTTGGGCACTGTGCGCATAGTGATGGAACCAGCTCTCTCCGTCTCCACCCTGCCCCCACCTGACACCCAACACATGACACACGTAAGCTGGGCCCAGGCCAGGCCCCACCCTGCAGATCATCAAGGGCATTTACTTCCTGGAGGCTGACCTGTGGTTCTTCTTCAGCCCCACACTCCTGAGAAGCCTGCTGTGAATCACAGGTCAAGGTCCAGTGAAGGGCTTTCCAGATGTCTCTGAGAACCTTTCCTTTAGGGCTATCAGGGCAAAGGGAGCTGGGAAATCCAGGCCCATGACCATCTGCCTGGATGAGGGGTGAGATGCAGAGGGAAGAAAGGAGGAGGCATGTGCAAGAGTCCCAGGATGGGCCCAGGATGAGGAGGCCCAGAACTACGTGTGTAGTGTGGGGGCTGAGGAAAATCTAGATTGACATCTAGCTACCAGGGCAATTAGAAAAGGAAGGAGCCAGGCACAAACACACCTGTAACCCCTGCTAACTTGGGAGGCTGGGGCAGGAGGATCACAACCTTGAGGCCAACTTAGGCAATTTAGTGAAACCCTGCCTCAAAATAAAAAATAAATAAATAAATAAAGTAAAAAGGGCTGGGGATGTAGCTCAGTGGTAGAGCAACCCCTGGGTAAAATCTCCAGTACCACCAAAAAAGAAAAAGAAAAAAGGAGGAGAAATACTCCTTAGCACTGGCTTTGACTTTGGGGTTTAGGAGACTGAGGAACCCAGGGAACTCTAGGAAAACAGGGTGAGTCTGAGGTCCTGACCCCAATCTCCCGTTCCTGGACAGAGAGGCTTCCAGGAGCACCAAAGGCAAGTTAGTGAACACAAGTCCATCTACTAGCTGCTAAAAAGCAGTCCAGTGAATTAGGGACAAGTTGTTGAAACAAGGGAAAAGACTTAGTAAGCCTGCAAAACTAAGATGGAGACCAGCACCCTGAGGGACCATTAGGCCTAAGTTCCAAGCTCCTTTTACCCTCGCAAGGGGCATGAAGTGGGGGTCGGGTTAAAAAGAACCGATGCTTGGAGACTTATAAGAGCCCATCCAGTGGTTGGGAGTGGGACACTGTGAACATGGTGGTCATAATCTGTTGACCAATGAAGCCCCTGTAAATATTTAAAAATAGTTTAGTTACTATTATGTTGGTGTCTTCAGCCTTCAAGGTGGAGGAGAGAGAGATTAGGGAATTTTCAGGAAAATCAGCCTTTGAACTACCAGTTCTGGACCCACAGTTCCTAACAACTGATACATCTATGTACAGAGTGGAACAGGAACAGTCTAACCCAAAGGATAAGCCAGCCAAGGAGACAGATGGGATGTGAAGGCAGTCATGCTAAGCTTATGCCCTGTTAAGTCACCTGCTGGACATCTGCAGGCCCAAATAGAGCGTCAGTGGCCTTCAAGTCCCTGAAAAGTAACTTGGCAACCATTATCATAACCTCTCTGTCAGAGGTGTCATCTACAGCAAAGCCAGGGAAAGGCTAAAGATATTGCTCAGCTCTATAACCACCAAAGTAGTGATTTTAAAAACAAACTAAAAGCAAGTGAAGCTAGAGGTTTTCCTTAGTTTTACCCTCAATTACAGGGCTGGCCTTCTCTCCTGAATATTCCCACACCACCCTGCCCTGAGAATTGGCCATCAGCCCTCAAGTCGCCCTCCCCCAGCCTTCTTCCTGCGCCTCTGCCTCTGTGTGGGAGGCATCACAGGAGCACAGCAGGAATCAACCAGGACAGGGTCAGACAGACCCAACTCCTCCTAGGCCTCCCAGAGGCTCCTCAACCCACACTCACCCATCACTCCTCCAGACCTGCTCTCATTGACCTCTCCACTGGCAAAATATCTCCCACCCTAGGCACATGGGAACAAGCGTCCACAGCACCCATACTAGCCAAGCCTCTTGCCTCTACAGTGCGTTCCTTCATCGTCTCACCGTCCCCACCTCCTCACACTCCACTCTGCAGCCCCCTCCTCGCTCTAGTCCCTACTACACCCCCAGGGGACTCTTTCTGGACCACCCATGACTGCCACATGGATAAATATACAGGTTCTGTTCCAGGTGTCCTCTTGAAACACTGTCCCCTCCACATTCTCCTGGGAGCTCGCTGCCTCTGCCCTCCTCTTACCTAGCAGTCTCCCCCTCACCAGCCTCCAGCCGTCTACCCATGGCACATTTGTCCTTCCTACAGGCAGCCTGTCTCCATCCTTGCTGCCCTCCTGCTGCCTAGGAGGGTGTCTTTTGTGACTGCCACAGCAGCTGCTCCTTAGGTTGCTTTGTCCACCTCCAACCCCACTATAATGCATCGACCCCCACAAGGCCTGAGAGACCCTCTAAAACAGATCAGCCCCCACGCTCCGTCACCTGAGACCTCTGTGTCCTCTGACTGCTCTAGAATGCAAGCTGGGCTCCTGGCCTGCAGGGCTCGTGTGCTCTGACCGCTGCCCACCACTCAGGCCCCTCCCCCGATCACTCCACCCCAGCCACCCTGGCCTCCTCCGCTGGGGGGCCTTTGTCTGGCTGCTCTCCTTGCCTGGCTCCTTCCCTGCCCTCTGACCCAGCTCCAGGCTCCCTCCTCAGAGGATCTCCTCCGACTCCTTACATCAAAGTCACCTCCCACGCCCACGCTCTCATCCGCATCCCCTTCTTTATTTCCTTCCTATCCTTTACAGGACCCTGATTATCTTTATATGTGTTTGTTTCTTTTGCCTCTGGAATGTAAGCCCCAAAGGGAGGGACCTTATCTCTCTCCTTGACTCCTCTGTCACACTCAGAGCAGCAGCTTGCTTCTGTGTCCTGGTCAGGGATGGCTTTTCCAATAGCCCCAGCGAAAGAATGAACAGGTTCCCCCCACTGTAGCCTCACAGCTTCCGGAAGACGCTCCCAGGTCCGACTTCTTTCTCTCCCACCAGGGTCCCAAATTCTGCCTCAGCCGGGAATGCTTGGGCACGGAGGGGGGGGGGCTGTCTTTGGGCCCAGGTGGGTGGCCTGACCTCTCCATTCTTCCTAACACATTCCCCCAGGGAGGCTTCAGTCTAGCAAAGGTTCACAATACCTGTCCCCAAAGAAGCCCCAGTCGCAGCCTCCACACTAGCCACAAAGGGCTTCTCACTGAGGAAACCTGCAGGCTCCCAGAGCACCCCTAAAGAGCACTCTGCTCAAAGATGTCATGTGGAACTCCGCAACAGATTAAGTCCCATCTCAGCCTGTCCCCATGTCCCCCACAAGAGTCCCTGCTGTGTTCACACTGACATGGGAGAGTCCTGCAAGAGGATGGGACCTGGTCTGAGCTGGTTATGAATGAGGTCTTGACGGGGGCACCCAACTCGGGGCTAACAGTGGAATGTGACCTTGATGGAACTGGGGCTAGGACTAGAGGAAGCAAAAAGGCACAGATGACCCTGTCCTGAACGAGGCTGAAGGAGGTCCCAGAGGCTAAAACCCAGGGAATAAGACAGCCAAGGAGGTCAGGAGGGCTGGTTCCCATGCAGCCATGAAGAGGTGCTGGCCCAACAGGCACCTGACCCCAGGCCCCAGGACCCTCCCAGTGACCCTCACCAGTTCAGGTAGGGGAGGCCTCTCACTGGGATCCAGTCCCTGGACTCCAGGCCATCCTAGGTACTATTTGCCAGGGTAAGGGTGGCAGCGCAGGCCAGGATCTCCTGGGCTGATCCCAGGGAAGCCAAGGACAGGATGCAGGTTGCAGTTGGAGGCCACAGGACTCTGTCCCACAGATTCAACACCTGCAGGGCCCTAAGCCTCTGTCCCAGGAAAATCAGTTCCTACCTGGCATTTCCCCTCCTCTCTCTTATCCTCCTGCTTCTTTTTTGGTTTTTGTTTATGCCAAGCCTCCCTCACTGGGCTGTGAGTCCCCAGAAGATGGGGATCCTCATCTGCCCTGGGTGCCAAAGGAGATTTTTAAATACAACAACATCCAGGGACTGGGTAAGTCCTTGAGTAGTGACAGGGGGTATATCTCGGTTTTCTGCCTTTGCTAAAGCCAGCCAGAGATCTGCCCCAGGTCTGGGAACATGAGGTAGGATGGAAACGGAAAGAGAAGAACAAGAACAAGAATGTGGGAGTGGGAGGGCTCCCTCCTGGGTGGACTGACCAAAGGAAGGAGGAACAAGGTGAGCCCTGCTGCCCAGTAATTTCAGCCCTCCATTAAAGTCCACAGTGTTCTAGTGCCTTTGTCCCTATCTTCTTTGACAGGTCCATGTCCTGTCCACAGGCACTACCTGGCCATACATGGTCACGTGCCCATGGATGGAGCACATGTGCAGACACAGCACACTCACCAGTCCACATCTCCCCACATGCCTGGGGCCCACTTCCAGGTGGCCTGTCCCCTGATCATAGAACACTCTGCAGGCCAAAATTCTCTTCCTTCTGCTCCTGGCCCCTGTGCCTGATGCTGACCTGGGCCCCAGACAAGGTACTCAAAAGGCAGAGGGACAAAGGGGTTACACCTTAGGCCAGAGGACAGCAAGGAGGAAGCTAGGAAGCAGAGGTCTCTGGCCAGGCTCAAGGCACCTGCCGGCACAGGTGTGTGTCCTATTCAGTGCTGGGTGGGCGGTGGCCTGAGAGGTTTCCCCACCTACCAGAGTCCAAAGAGCACAGGTGTGGCTGCCTCCATCGCCTCAACACCACGGGACTTACTGCTCACCTGGGGCCACCTGCACCAGCAGGGTGCTGCTTGAGGCAGCTAGCAGAGGACCAACTGCTGGGCACCAGATCAACTGCTCAAAAGCCAGACCCTTGGGCCATCAGTCACCAGAGGCATTGGCACCCAGGTAAGGGCCTATCCCCCAGGGAATATCAGGGCAGGACAGGTGGGGAAAACTCAGGACAGGAGCTTTTCCAGGCCAGAGCTTCTCTCCAGCCTATCTGGAGATGCAGGCAGGAGGTTCAGGCCCAGGGAGGGTAGGACTTAGCTGCTGACTGGCAGGCTAAGAAGCAGAGCAAGGGGCTCCAAAAGTCCCTCTGCAGGCTTCCCCCATTGTCTGTGATAGAGATACCTCTTCCCTGCTCCAAGCCCCTACATTTGGGGAAGAAATGGCAGAACAACACTGCCCAGCTTCCCACACCACAAGGGGCCAGGCAGGCCAAAGCCAGCCTCTCCTCCTGGGGTTGGGATCTTCAGAGCAGCTGTTTCCCTACCTCCACCCACCCACAGGGACCCTCAGGGACCCACAGGGACCATCCTGGTGTGGGGGAGCAGAGAGGGGCTGAGGAGGGAAGCACTCATTTCTCTTCTGGTCTAGAAACAGGAAGTGTGTCACAGCCTGAGAGAGGCAGGAGGAGGGGAAGAAGATTTCCAGCACCCCTTCTTTGCAGAGGAAAAGGGGTCCTCCCAAACAAGGGAACAGAGACCTAGCCGCCTCCTGCAGTTTCATAATTATTCAATGACGATTCATTTTCCCATCACTGATTCATCTTATCGGAGCCTCTGTTATTTTCATAACAGTCGTAATAAATGGGTGTGGGTGCTCTCTTATACTTTGCCCAGGGTATTCCAGGCATACCACGCAGATGTGGAGACCCACAAAACCAACACCTATGCATGATGCATACACACCTCATTCAGATGACACCCACTCTTGACCCACTCATGACTAGCCCCCACCCCACCCTGCACATTCACACACCACATTTAATTTGGTTTTGTTTCAATGGATTGATGTTCTAGACCCCCTCTGGGCCAGCTCACCACCCAGTAACAGGGAACACATAAACAACTAAAACATACAATCTGCAGCCAGACAGGTCTGGGTTCATTCTCTGTTAAATAATCATTGTAACCTCAGGCCTCAGTGTCAGAATCCTCATCCACTAAATGGGGATAAAAACAAAACCCACCTAGTAAGGTTGTTCTGAGGATTAAATGAGATATGGAGGATAAAGCCCATAGACCAGTGAGCAGCAGTTGGCACCAAGCCAGCATGAGCAGATGGTGGTGAAGACTGAATGTTCATGAGGGGCTTGGCAGCAGTCTCATGGTACTAACTACTCGGGCTACTGTGACTGCCACTATTGTCACAGAAGAATGTACAAAGCTCAACATGGCATTCAGGGGCAATCTGGAAATGGTGGTAGTCAAGGAGGAATTTGCCAGGGAGGTGATCCATGCGCTGGATTTAAATAGTTGAGGTGGGGAGGGGCTCTAGGAGAGGGTATGGAATACAGGGGGGCAAAAAGACAGGAGTATTGGTTAGATGTTCAGGGAAGTGCAGATCATTGATAAGTCCTACACCATGGTAGACAGGTACATGTAGGTGCGCACCCACACAGGTGCATACACTCCTGTTGAGAGGGTCTCCAGCTCATGGGATAATGTCAGCTTCCTCCTGGTCTGCAGAATTGAAACAGGACTGGACGAGAAGATTTGCTCTGGCAGGGAAGGCTGCTGAGCCCCCTGCCCTCCCTACAGAAATGGGTGCAGCTTACTTATCTGGCATCTTTCACATCTAGGCCCAGTCTAGAATCTGGTCCCAGATCCAAATAGTGGGAGCCTGGAGCCTGACCTAGGCTCTCCCTTTCCTAGTCTGGCCCTTCAGGGCCAACCAAGATGGAGGGCTCTTTAAGGGAGGACACTGACTGCAGATGGCTCTGGAAAGATCCCTGGAGCCAGGGCTTTGGTCTGCTCCCTGACAGTAGCAGCGCTCTGTCCCGACTGGGCCTGGTACTCCTCTTGCCAGCTCTCATGGCTGTCTCTGTTTTACTTGGGGTTCTAGGTAGCTGGCCTCAGCAGCGTCACCATGTCCCGGCCCAGTAGCAGAGCCATTTACTGTAAGTTTTCTCTGAACCCTCTGCCCTGCTGAAGCCCCTATCCTCTGACCTTTCCCTTCTCACACCCTGCAATTGCCTGAGCCTCATCTCACTCTCCTGCCACCTCCTGTCCCTGACTTTTTACTCTGCAGTGCACCGGAAAGAGTATTCCCAGAGCCTGGCCTCAGAGCTCACCCTCCTGCAGCACAGGGTGGAGGTGAGTACTGCCAGAGCCCCAGGTGGTTTCAAACTAAAGACAAGTATGTCTGTGTGTCCAATGCCCTGCCAAAATAGAGATGCCTCAAATGTTCCTGCTGTGGAAGCTAACAGTCTGATTTGGCCTAATCCTGTGACTTGGATCCAACCAGCCTGCAGCCTAATGAAGCATCTGCTAAGTTCTGGGGAGGAGGGGGAATGGAGGTGGGCAGAGCAGGCCCAGATAGAGGTCTGATCCCCAGACAGTAAGAAGTAGGAAAGGGATTGGCCTAGAGGCACTGAGAACCTCCCCTGCCCAACCCCATTTGTTCCAGATGCACCCCCAACCACACCCACTGCCAGGGAGTTGCTCTTTGTTCAGAATGGGCATGACTGGAGGAGGGAAAGTATGAGGTCTACAGCCCTCTCGGATTTAAGGAGCCATTAAGAGGGGAGTAGCTGAGTCTGAGTTCCTGGGGAGTGAGGTGACCCCCCTCCACTGATCTGCTGGAATGGTGTCTCTGCCACGCACACCCCCCAGGAGGGTAACTGCTACTTAAAGATCTAGTTACAGGAAGGGATGTCAGCACCACAGTGAAAGCATAGTGCAGGCTACAAGGGTGTTGTCAGACCAGCAGGCACTGCTGAGGACATGGGGGGGACATAGCGGTGAGGGAGAAACCACCCCCACCCCAGCAGTCTCATGTGTTAGGGATCTAATGCGGATAACAGGGAGCCACACTGGGGTGAGGGATAGACAACATCAAGGCAGAAAGGGCTGCCCTGTTAGCTGGGGAGAGGCAGGAGTATTCATCTTCTTTATGGGGAGGGGCTGGGAACTGGCTTCATAGGAATTAAGAGCAGGAGGAGACATATTCAGGATGACAGGGACACCAGGCCCATCCCCAGCCGTATTGCTTCTAAACGGTTCACATTGTCCCTAGAGGGTGCTATTGGGATCTGCCCTTCCCCCTCTGCTGCCTGAGCTGCTGGCAGGGTGAACAGAGAGAGGAGCTGGACCCAGGAAGGGATGGGGAGCTGCCAGGGTAAGAGGGAGGGTCAAGGGGAAGGACAGACACGAGGTAGGGGAGAAGACTGGAAAAGGCAACATGCAGCTGGGAGAAGCAGGGTGAGGAGTTGGGGGTGTGGGCAGTTCTGCTGGAGGAAGTAGACAAGGGCAAAGACCCACCAATCATCAGGCTAGCAGCAGGTAAGGACTTTTGTGGAGACTAACATCACTATGGATCTCTTTGGGTAAGAATCAGGAAAGGTGGGCTTGACCCTCTTCCTGAGAGACGAGGTGCTAGATTGGCAGAGGGTAGAAAGGCATCTGGGTATGAGGAACAGTATGAGCGAAGGCACAGCAACAGCAACCCAGGATCAGTGAGAAGACCAGGCTGGAGGGGTGGCATCCCAAATGCAGCAAAGGAAGCCAAGAACAGAGCCCAGGGGTCCTCTAGCCCACTCAGAAGTTCAGACAGTATATGTTGGGTATTTGGAGCTCACATCCAGCAGGACACATCCGCCCCACAATTGTCATTCCTTTGGAGTCTTAAAATCCCTCATGAAGCCCTTTAGCCACAGACCTGGAGGCCCATTCCTAGGCCTACTGCTTCTACACAGTTTACATTGTCCCCAGAGGGTGCTATTGGGATCTGCCCTTCCCCCTCTGCTGCTTTCCTCTCCCACCACCACCCCCTTCAAAACTTCTCCTGGTTTGGCCCCTTTCCTCTCCCTTTATAGCATCTGATGACATGTAAGCTGGGGACACAGAGAGTCCGGGAACCCAAGGATGCACTGCAGAAGCTGCAGGACATGGACACACAGGGCCGAGTGTGGAGCCAAGACCTGATCCTGCAGGTCAGAGATGGCTGGCTCCAGCTGCTGGACATCGAGACCAAGGTCAGCCCTCCCACTGTCTAGCCCATGCTGGGGAAGAGCAAGTGCCAGGTGCCTCCAAGAGCTACCTCCCATACTCAGCAGACACCCAGGCCTACGAAGAGATAGGAGATGAGGGTTGGGGATAGAGGCACAAGTCAGAGCAGATGACTCCCCAGACCCAGGCCACCAGAGGGCAGGGGCAAGCCTATCAGGAGTTTCTAGGAGCCAAACTTAGTTCTTAGGCCTCACAGTTGACTTCTTCACCTGGCCCAGGAGGAGCTGGACTCTTACCGCCTAGACAACATCAAGGCCATGGATGTGGCACTGAACACCTGCTCCTACAACTCCATCTTGTCCATCACTGTGCAGGAGTCTGGCTTGCCAAGCACTAGCACTCTGCTCTTCCAGTGCCATGAAGTAGGGGTGAGTGGCCAGGGGTGAGGTTCAAAAACCATAACCATTGTGTGTGCAGGTTGTGCAGGTGCATGCGTGCATCCTCACCCCACCACATGCATGCGTGCGTATACACACACACACACACACACACACACACACACACACACACACACACCTTGCCTGACTGTTGCTTCCTCCAGGCAGAACGGCTGAGGACCAGCCTGCAGAAGGCCCTGGAGGAGGAGCTTGAGCAAAGGTAAGCAGTCTCTGCATAGCCAGCAGAAGTGTGGGCAAGGCTTCTGTCCCGAGAACCTTGTCAAAGACGTGCCCTTCACCATGTCTTCAGTAGACCTCAATTTGGAGGCCTTCACTCAGGCCAGAACAGATGGAGGGGACCATCTCTGGAAAGGTCACTTCCTTTGGAGCAGGCACCCTCTCTGGAGCGGGGGCCCCTTCCAGAGCAGCCCTACCAGATGACCCCAGAGCACAGTAAGTTTTGCGGACAGGGGCAGGTGGAAGAGAGTGTCAAAGGAGTTCTAGGCCCATAGTCCCATTACATTGCAGGCATCCCACCATCCCCAAGGCCCCTGTCACGCCACCCCAGTGCCAGAGAACCAAGCGCCTTTGCTCGGCCTCCTCCAAGACGGTCTCCATCCCCAGAGGATCTACAGAGAGATGAGGTAATTGAGGATGGTCTTGGGCTTGCTGAGGCTTCCCGGGCCCAGGGGAAGAGAGTACACCTGTTCTCCCCCTCACCCAGGAGCCCAGGGCCCCAGGGTGGTCAGGGCAGGACAGTCCTAACGGCCCACTCACGGTCATGGATTGTTTGGGACCCAGGAGGTGCTGAACCATGTCCTAGGGGACATTGAGCTGTTCATGGGAAAACTGAAGGAGGTTCAGGCAAAGACCAGCCTTAAGAAGAAGAGGAGACTTAGGAAAAAAAAGAACAAGGAGAATGAGGGTGAGTGCTGAGGGCCAGGGGAGAGGAGTGGAGTTGTCCTGAGATGATCTGTGAATGCTGCCTTTGTCCCTGCTCCCACAGGAATAACCCGGGAACACTACATTGACTGCTTCCAGAAGATCAAGTACAGCTTCAACCTCCTGGTCTGTGGCTCCCCACCACTTCCCCAGCCTTCCTCCCCCCAATAACCCTACAGTCACTGGTCTCTGGACATTCTAAGTTTTTCCCTTCTTCAGTTGCTCCCCTTCTTGGGGCTTTTGGAGAGTCCCAGGCTCTTAGCTGAGGCATAAACAATTATGGGGAACGGAAGATATTGCAGGATGAAGTGTGGTGACAGACATTGCCCTGTGTCCCCAGGGAAATCTGGCCCTCAGGCTGGAGGAGACGAGTGCCCCTGAGTTTGTGCACATCCTCTTCAAAACTCTGGACTCTGTGAGTAGGGAGAGGACAGGGTGGAAGAGGGACAGGCTGAAGCCAGGCAGGAGCAGAGGGAGGAAAGGAGGCTGAGAGAGAGTAGAGGGAGGCCATGGGGATTCCCTTTGCTCTGCCCAGCACACCCACCTCCTTAACCCCAAGACCACATCCCTCATGGGACCAGCCCCCCCCGAAGACTCTGTGAGCAGGGGTCAGACACGAGGACCCTAGGGTTCTGCAGGAGATGGGCAGCTGAGCAGGGCTGGAGAATCTGGGCCTTTCTGTCCTAGGCTTCCTGACACCTTCCATCACTCCCCCAGATCCTGGCCCAGTGCCCTGATGCTGACCTACCATCTCAAGTGGTCTCGCCCCTCCTCACTCCCAAAGCCATTGACCTGCTGCAGTCCTGTCTGAGCCCATCTGAAAGTAACCTCTGGAAGGGGTTGGGTGTGGCCTGGACCACCAGCCGGTGAGTGAAGACAAGACCTGAACTGAACTGGGGCTGAGGGGTGTTGGGGAAGGACCCGAGAGGTAGCCAGGCACTGTGTTGACACAAACCAGAAATATTTCAAAACAATTTGGGGACTCTACATGAAGTTCCCAACTCTTTATTAAGATAAGTGTGACCAATTAAAAATATATATATATTATCACCTTTACTCACTATGAAAGGAAAAGCAATGTCTCAGAAAACAACAATTTTTCCCCAAAAGGAAAGATGCCAACCTCATTTTTGTCAAGGCCAAAACGAAAACTTTATCTTAATCCAGCCCAGAATTTCAGAATTACTTTCATAAGTGATGCTACAAATGTAACATCAGTAAAACTTGGCAACCATTTGGCAAGGCCCCAGTTAGGAGAGAAAGAGATGCCACAAGATCCCAAGCTGACATGAGCATTTGGCAGGAGGACAAACTGAAGAGAGCCTTGGGGGGTGGGGGAGGAAACTGGCTCCCCTGGCTGAGCTGAGGTGTCAGGGGAACAGTCCACAGAGGCAGGGCAGCCGCCCCAGGTGACATGTCTGGCCTGGCTGTGGTAGAACCTGACAAGGGGGGCCTCGGGGAAAGGCGAGCATGCCCGTGGGAGCCCCAGAACTCACTTTAATAAGCACAGTACTTTCTCTTCCACAAGGGAAGATGGCAGGACAGTGGGAAACTTACAGGCAGGTTGCAAAAGGAAAAAGAAATCCCAGGGAGTTAAAAGAACCACAAGGACAGAGAAAATAAAAACCAAGAGAGAAGAGGGGATCAGAAAGACAGAGAAGTCAATGGGGAAATAAGCCAGTTTTCCTAGCACGCCTTTTGCCTAAAGACAGAATTTTTAATTCAGCCCCATTCAAAGGAGTTTTCATCTAGTTTGTTAAAGACATGAATCAATTAATGCAATGCATGTTTTTGACTGTGGTAGAATACACATAACAAAATTTACTATTGTAACTGCTCTAAGTGCATAATTCAGTGGCATTAATCACATTAATAATGATGCACAGGCAACACTATCTATTCCTAAAACTTTTTCATCATCTTAAACAAAAAGTCTATACCCACAAAACAATAATTCTGTATTCCCCCACCTCCCCAGCCTCTAGCACCTCTATTTTATTCTCTCTCTACATTTTCCTACTATGAGTATCTCATGTAAGCGGAACACATTCTTTATTCTTTTATGACTGGCTCATTTCACTTAGCATGTCCTCCAGGTTCATCCACATTATAGCATGGGTCAGAATTTCCTTATTTTTAGTGGCTGAATAATATTCCCTTGCGTGAACATGCCACCTTTTTTTATTCATTCATTTGTCAACAGATACTTGGATTCTCATAACAATATTCATTTGTCCAGAATATCATATGAGCTAGTCTCAGAGTCTGCTGGTTCCCATGGCTATGCTGGGCTCACATTGTCTGGGGAGAGAGCCCTGGCATCTAGCACCAGCAAGGAGGAAAGAGAGGTTCTGCAATGGACTCAAACCAAAAGACCTCAAGTAATTTTATTCAGCCACTTTAACATTGAGCAACCATGTTAAATATATAATTTTGTGTTTCAAAACCCAAGTTTATTTCAAGAATTTGAGGGCTGGGGTTGTAGCTCAGTAGTAGAGCACTTGCCCCTCACACGTGAGGCTCTGGGTTTGATTCTCAGCACCACATAAAAATAAATAAATAAATGAAAATAAATATAAAGATATTTTTAAAAATAAATAAAATACAATCCTTAAAAAAGAAGAATTTGAGACCCTAGAAAAATGGATCAGCAGATTTTTCTTTTTTTAGGGGGTACTGGGGATTGGACTCAGGAGCTTTAATGCAAAGCTACATCCCCAGCCCTATTTACTATTTTTTATTTAGAGACAGGGTCTTACTAAGTTGCTGAGGCTGGACTCAAACTTGCAATCCTCTTGCCTCAGCCTCCCAAATTGGTGGGATTACAGGTGTACACCACCATGCTGGACTGGATGTGATTTTTTTAAAAAGTACCCTTAAAGATGCAAAATAACTCCAGTGTTCATAAACTGATATACACTTGTTAAATAATATATCAAGTCAGTTATTCCCCTAGAGGTTTTCTAATTTCCTAAAATAACCAGAAATTAATCATTGCAACAGAAACACAGAAAATAGAATAATTATAGAGATGTAAAAACTCTAAATAGAGTTGAATTTCTGACAAATTATATTTTGATGACTTGATTTTAGACAAAATGACCCAAAGCTATGGGTCATTGAATGCTGTGGTAATCCAGAAGGATGGAGAACATCTGAGGCCATTGATTTGACAGCCAGGAAATTATCAGGATTTTAAATAGTCTGGTTCCAATAAAGTAATGACAGAGAAAATCTGATGCTGGAGTAATGACAGGACCGAGGTGAGAACGTGTAGGTAGGGTATTTAGGTACATTCTCAGGAAATTTGCAAGGAGAGGGTTATAGGTCCACAGCTTACAAGGAGTTGTAAGTGGGTCAAGGGAAGACCTGAGCATCTTTCTAAGGCCAAGAAGAAATGACCAACGAAGAAGATCAGAAAAGGGAATAGTCTCTGTGGTCCACTGAATAAACATTTCTTAGCTGCAGCTTATGCACCAGCCACAGTCCTGGGGCGACAGCTCCCAAAGAGTTCAATATAGTAAAAAAACAAAACAACATAGACATGTAAAAAGCATGTGCAGTAGAGTGTGAAAGGAGCACTAATCCACAGGTACACCAAGTTCAGGGGAAATATTTACCTGGAGGAGGCAGGGAGAATAACTTCCCTAAGAGTCGAGGGAATTTCCCCTGCAGCCAGGTAGTGGTTGTCCATGCACAAAAAGCCTGGAAGCCACAGATGGCACACAGATGGGCCCTGTGTGGTGGGCGAGAGGGAGGCTAAGAGGCAAGAAACTGCCCCATCCTGGTGTCAGCTAGAACAGCCCTGCCATGATGGTCTAAAAATTAGAGTTCCACACACTATTTAGCTAGAGAGACCTACTGTGGGGACACTGAAAACAGGTTAGAAAAACAGCAGGAAACCATAAGGGGGCCTTTAGGACCTACACTCTGATTTCTACCACTTTAATTCAAATGCCCCAGCAAAGCCACTGTTTCCCTAGGGGAGTGATACATCTGCACTTCGTGGGTGGTGGTAGGGCTGATCCACAGATCCTGCGCTGTGAGGTTTGCTCATCCTTAACCATTTGCTCCTCTGTGGGTGTTCTGAGGCCTTTCATCTGTGCACAATGGACTATGCCCCCCATTAAGATCCTGAGGTTAGGCCTTGTCATCTCCTCCCTCTCTACATCCCACAGCCTTGCACAGAGTGGACAAGGACTCTGATTTGTTCTCCCCCCAGGGCTGACTGGACAGGCAAAGAGCCTCCACACTACCAACCTACATTTTATGATGGCTGGCAACCTCCAGAGCCCTCTTCCTTGGTAAGAGATGCTGAGCACAGAGTCCTATCCAAAGCCCTGAGTTCTGGTTAGTTTCTACCATCCCCATGGTCACATGACAACTAGGCCATGTATGGGTTTATGTGAGGACCTGTGTCCATCACTGTGAGGGTGGCCAGGAAGGGAATGAGAGAAAGCTGTGAGAGTAAAGGGAGGGGCGTGTCTGACAGCCACTCCCTATCACCATGGTGGTTGCCTCCGGCTCTTACTCACTTTCGGTTTTGTTCCCTACAGGCACCCTTAGGATATCAGGACTCTATTGCTCTCCGGTATGGCTCAAGGCTATTAGGGACTGAATTGGGTGGGGAGGGAATGAAGGAACTAAGCCTTTTGATCTCTGGATCTCTATATCTCAAAGACCCTCTGAGCTCTCTTCTTAGTCAACAAGGACATACACAAACACATCCTCCCCTAGTTTGGATGTAAAAGCAGCTTTTGACCTTCTTAGGTTCCAATCCCTTCTTCTCAAGATACCATCCATACACATCTCTGGTTTCCCAGAGCTCAGATATAAAGTGCTCACAGCAAAGCTCAGATGTAGAAAATTCCACTGCTGTAAATGTCTTTAGAGATCAATGATATTTCAGACCTCTCTTGTCCTCAGAAACCTCTACCCCAAGCCCCACCTAAGACAGACCTCCTATTAAACTCTATGGAACCATAAAAGTCACCACCAAGCAAGCACCAGATGTAGCCAGGAGATATCTGGGGTTCTTGGTGGTTGGATAGGTGCTCAATTTCTGAGGCCCATCTCCAGCCATCCTCCCTCTTTCTTTTGGCAAAAGTGCTAGGTTAGGGAGTACCTCACGCTTTGCTCAGGAGGAGACCTACAACAATGGCCCTCAACCTGGGGATACCAGCATCCCACCCTCCAGCCCTAGACCTGTCAAATCAGTCCTGAAAATGCAAGTTCTGTATGAGTTTGAAGCAAGGAACCCACAGGAACTAACTGTGGTTCAGGGTGAGGTGCTGGAGGTAAGGTCTGGGCTTGATGCTAGAAAAGGAGGTGGTGGTTGGTGGAAGCTACAGTAGCCTGGACTGGGCAGTCTAGATTTGGAGCTGCCAAGGTGGGGGGCCTGGAGATGGAGAAGGAAAGTGGGAGAGGGATGGGAGGGAAAATAAAACCCTTGTGTGTTTTCCTCCTGCCTGGACAGAGGTTTGGGTGATTGAGATGGTGACTGTTGGCAGGTTCTGGACCACAGCAAGCGGTGGTGGCTGGTGAAGAATGAGGCAGGACAGAGTGGCTACATTCCCAGCAACATCCTGGAGCCCCTGCAGATGGGAGGCCCTGGGAGCCAGGGCCAGTCACCCACACGGGTACACTACCTGGCCTAAGCTATCCAAAAGGCTTAAGTCCTGAGTTGGAGGTCAGGGTGGGGAGGATTCAGTGACAAGCAGAAGAATTAGTTCTGGTTTTACTTAATCAGTTCTTACTGCATGTTAAGTTTGTTATTGGGTCAAAGTAAGTAATAAAACAGGGTTCCTATCAGACCATAAAATCATAGGCTGTTATAAGTGATCTGATGGAAGCCCAGAGAAGAAACCTAGGGTTGGGAGGTATGTGTGTTTGTGAGATGATCTCTGACCCCTTATTCCTCCACCCCCTCGCCCCACCAATCCAGGCTCCAATGCTTCGACTCAGTTCAAGGCCTGAGGAAGTCAAGGCTTGGCTGCAGGCAGAAAACTTTTCCACTGTGTAAGTGCCCAGTCTGAGGGGCATGGAGAGGGGACCTTAAAATGGGCTCCAATGAGGACTATGGAAACCCAGAGACCCAAATTTGCAACTGGCCTCCACTGTGCTTGTCAACTCCATCTCAGATACAGGTTCTGCTGAGTGAAAGAGATCAAAGGAAGGGGACTTGCCTAAACCTAGGTTAGGGTGTCAGGTGGGGTGCTCCTGCCATGGTGAAGGCAGCAAGCATCAAGATAGTGAACTTGGGGAAAAAAAAAAACTGACAGCTCAGCCATGCCTTCTTACAAGATACTTCAAACCTGGGTGTTCTGACATCAGTTGGTGCCAAACCAATTGGCTTACACCAGCACTTTCAGATACCCCATTGCTACAAATCATCCTGGAACCCTAACCTCCAATCCTAAACAGCCCTTCTCTACCCAAATACTCAGGCCCAGCATCCTTCCACCTGACCCTTGGTGGCTTCTCCTGTTTTTGTTGACAGCACGGTGAAGACCCTAGGGTCCCTGATGGGGAACCAGCTACTTCACATGAGACCTGGGGAGCTACAGATGCTGTGTCCACAAGAGGCCCCACGAGTCCAGACACGGCTGGAGGCTGTCAGAAGGATGCTGGGGGTAAGGACACTCTGGGGTCCTGGCTCCTGCTGAGAGGGCCTGGTCCTCCCAACAAGAGAGTCCGAGTGCTGGGGAGACAAGCCAGCAGGCCTAGCCCTGGGTGGAACTGAGCGTGGAAGGTACTGAGCATGAGATAGTCCTCCAAGGGTGTGGCTTAATGCATTCAGGCATACCTCGAGGCTTCAAGCTTTCTGGTGGCAGGACCTCTGGGGCTCTCTCACCTGGCAGAGCCTCAACTGAATTCTTTTCTTCCCTCAGATGAGTCCTTAGGCACCAGCTCAAACACTTCCAAGACCAAGGATGTCTCTCCTATGCAAGATGGAGTATTTGATATTTTAGAACCCTGAGAATTCCTCTTCCAGCTCCTCAGTTTGCAGCAAACCACACAGCTGGAGAGCTCACACAGAAAAGAGGATTAACAGGCCCAGATGTTGTGGCAAATGGTACCCTTTCTTGCTGTGCTGGGATCATCCCCAATTACTACCTATTTATTTTACCTCTTTCCTAAGTCTGGCTCACTTATGACTAGGCCTGTCAGGAGTTGGTTTACTCCCTCATCTTCCCAATAAAAGCATCTTTAAGTCTGTCATATGTCTCCCTTGCTGCTTCTTCTGGGCCTTATGGGAGCCAAAGACTGTGAGGTAGGAAGATCTGGGGCATGATACAGCAGCAACCTTACATTCATCACCAGGTCAGATGATCTGAATGGGAGAAAGAATTCACACTACAACCTGGAACTGGGAATCAGAATTTGAGAGCTATGGTCCAAGTTTTTCTTTCTAAGCAAACACCAAAATGAAGCTATGGTCACCAGCCCCATCCTTTCGTGTATATGTCTCCTAGTAGAGACCAAGGCATCCAGCATGGCTGAGGACACAGAAGTAGTAAAGAGCACCAGGGTGTCAGCTGCAGGTTTTAACCAACACTGACTGATGGTCCAGAGAAGCACTAACTAAAACAAGGCAGGTGTTCCAGGAAGTTGTTAACTTCCTCTTTCGATGCAACTTTGCCCCTGCTGTTAAATGAGCCAACCTTAAGTTCCCTCCCGTTTCTCTTTAGTGACAGAGCATAAGGAACACTGGACTGATAGGTAAAAGTCCCACAGTCAGCAGTGTGAACTCTACCAAGTCATCCCACCTCTGGGTTCCTGTTCTAAGATTAGGTAAAGAGTGTGGATTGGCTGTAGCTTCCAATATCTTTTAGTGTAAGTAACCTACTTTAATTTCCAAACTGTCATGGTATGAACACTTATCTCCACATTTAATCCACAATTATGAATTCAAGTCTACCTTGAGGGTTTTTAAAGTGTTCCTTAGTCTCTCAGCTGAATTTGTCTATGACTTTAATATTGTCTGGGGCCCAAGTTGCCCTATTTTTAGACTGTCTAGGTCATTCCCTCAACTTTCCGGCCTCAGAAAATCATTCCTTGTAGGTGGTAACACAGAATAGGAAAGCAAAAAATTCCCTCACAAGAGAAAAAGGGCAAAATCCTTAGGGTCTGACTTGTCAAGGACAAACTTAGCCAAAAAAGTTAATTTCTTAGAATGAGTCAAGGCCCACTGCCCCTGAGGTCTCATAGAGTTGAAGGAGCACTGGCCACAGGGAAACCCTACAGGGCCTGAAAAAGGAATAGTATCTTAACACATTGTTCCCCAAGTTTCAGAGAAAAGACTGAGGTGAAATGATGGGCTGCCCCAATACAGTGGCACTACCACAAGTTAGTATTAGACATGAGTCTGAACTCCAGATCATCCTTGGGATCTTAAGCGACTCACCTAACCTCTCCAGGCCTCAGTTTACCTCCTATAAAATGAAAATAACACTTACTTTACAAAGTTGTTGTGATGCTTAGATTGGAATAAATTACCTAACATATATGAAACACCTGTGCTATTGCCTGGCATATCATAGCTATTAAAAAAAAATGCTAGTCTTATACCTCAAGTTAATTTGGGACTAGCCCCCTTGTTCTCTTGGGAAAAGAAATACAGGCATTGGGCTAGGGCTGTAGCTCAGTGGCAGAGCACTTGCCTAGCATGTGTGAGGCACTGGGTTTGATCCTCAGCACCACATTAAAAAATAAATAAAAAATAAATGCTGTCCATCTACAACTATTAAAAAACATTGAAAAAAGAAACACAGGCATTATAAATTCATGTGTCCCTATGTTTGCACCTTTCCCCCTTTTTAGCAAAATGACTTTTAAAAAGTCCTAAGTTTGCTTTAGCTGAACTAAAGGGTTGAGATAATGTGATCTCCCATACCCAGACTAGAGGAATAGTGGCTTGGACCTCTAGGTAGCCATGCTGTGCAGGCCGGACAGGAACCCTGAGAGCAGCTGTAGACTCCCCTTCTTCCACTCCTCCATAGTGTTCCCACAAATCCTCTCGCCTGCTCAACACTGACACTGTTACAAATCTCTACCCCTTTTACATTCTCATGAGCACTGCATAAACACAGAGGGTAGTTCTTCTCAAGACTGCAGGAACCTCCCACAGATCTCTTGCTGTATCAAGGTCCCCATGATACCCACATTGCTAAATCCAACTGTTACTTCTCAGTCTTCATTTTCCTTGACCGAGCAATCCCATTCATTTGACATAGTTGTTCATTTCCTCCTTCAAGGGTCTTCACTTGGTGTTCCACCTGCCTCCCTGGCCAGACTCCTTTTCAGACTCCTTTCTATCATTCTCCAGCTTCTAAATGTTGTGCCACAGCACCCCGAAACTTGCAGAGCTCGTCTCTTCTCCACTGCTCTCACTTCCATGGCAATCTCTTCGGTCTCACTGTTTGAAATGCTGTGTGTACAATGATTCCCTGTACTTACCACTTCCTTCTGCCTGGAGATCTCCCCAGCCTGCTGCACCCACAGCCCCCACAGCATAGTAGCTTGATCTCACACCTGCTTCAGGTCTTTGCTTAAAGATTAACATCTCAGTGAGACCTACCAAAATTCGTTCTTCAAAAACACAAATCCCCTTCCTGCTGGGGTTCTCCTACCTTTCCCCACCACTATTCCTTCTTATTCTCCTCTGCCTTCTCTCTCCTTTTCAGTACTGGGAGTTAACCCTTGGGGTACACTTACCACATCCCCAGCTCTTATTTTAATTTTATTTTGAGATAGGGTCTCACTAAGTTGCCCAGGCTGGCCTCAAACTTTGGATCCTCCTGCTCAGCCTCCCAAGTCTCCAGGATTACAGGGATGTGCCACCAAAATCAGCTTTAAAATATCCCCCACTGCCTGCCCTATCCATTGTTGGGAATCAAACCCAGCACCCACTGAATGCTAGAAAAACTCTCCCAGAGAGCTATCTCCCCAGCTGTATTCCTCTTTGTTTTCTCTCCATAGGACATGTACCACTATCTGACTTATTATATATTCACTAAGTATTTGGTTATTTCTGCCCCTCTCCATTAGAATGCAAGCTTTCAGAGGGAGGAATTTTTGCTAATTTTTTTGAGTTCTGTATCCCTAGCATCTAAAATGGTGCTGCCCATGATAGACATGTTAAAAACATTGTTGGGTACATGAATGAGTGAATGCAAAAATTATAGTATCTTTCCTTCTCCAATCCACTCTACACAAAGAAGCTACATTAATTTCTCTAATGGCCATTGGCAGTATCACTCATCTCAGCACAGCTTCCAAATCTGCACTGTTCAATAGAGCAGTTATGAGCCACATGTGGCTACTGAGCAGGTGAACGGTAGCTGGCTCAAATTGAGGCTAGTTTTAAGTGTAAGATACACACTGTGTATTGAAGACAATACAAAGAATAAAAATATTTCGATAATATTATACTAATTATATGCTGAAATTACAGTATTTTAATACATTGGGGCTAAATAAAATGTATTTATCCACTCACCTGTTTTTACCAGAAACAAATATTTTAAATCCTATGTGAGGCTTCCACTACATTTCTATTGGACAGTATGATCTAGATACTCCCCATAGACCAGAGGAAAAAAACTTTAAATTTCCCTTTCTCATAGTCACGGCCCTTTACAACCTAACCCCCACATGCTTTTCCCATCCTCCCTCTCTCTGTGCCTCCTCAACACCTCATAAACCAGCCTACCTCGACAGTACTTGCTGTTTCTTCTAACACACATGTATTTCCCACCTTCCCGTATTTATTCTGCCCTACTGCTGCCTGGAGTGCCCTTTGTGGCAATGCCCACGGCCTATCCTTCCTTAATAACCTTGCTCAAATGCCCACCTCCTCTGTGAAGCCTTCCTAGAACCACCCTCTGTCCTGGCCTGAAGAGATCTCTCCCTCCAAACTATCTTAGGTGATGTCTTATGCCCTGAATCACTTCCTACTTGGCAGTTTCATGGATTTAAGTAATTAATGGGTTTAACATCAAGCTCTCATTCCCCAGTCCTTCCCCGCTGCTTAACAGTGGAGCCAAAGATGGCGACTCAGCTGGGTGGTCAGAATCCGGTCCGATTATCACGAACTGTTCTAGTCCTCTACGGCACCCATGAATCTGACTCTCCCTGGGTAACTACTGCCTGGTTGCACTTCCCGCCTTGGCAATATTAACTACTGAAGTGCGGCACCCGCCCGTGGGGAAGCACAACTGCATTAAGCGAAGGTTTTGCACACCTGAGAGTCCCCTGCGAGACCGCGCGAGGGCCTACTGCCCGCTGAAGTCGCGCATGCGCATGATATTGTGGCCACGCGGAGGGCGGGAACGAGGGCGGGGGCGGAGTCGGGCGGCTCACGTTGGCCCCGCCCAGATACGTGGAATATAAAATCTCGCCGCTCGCGGTTTACCGCCAGTCTTCGAAAGCCCGCACGTTGCTTCACCATGTCGTCCACGTCGTCTATGGTTCTGGGTTATTGGGATATTCGCGGGGTGAGTGCTTTCGCAGTTGCCCAGCAGCTCCGTCAGAGACGGGAAGGTGGCCAGGGCTCTGGGGCAGCGGCTCTGTGAGAAGAAGCTGTAGGTGGGAGCCCTTTCGCCGCGACTACCATCATCTGAGCTGCCCAGCCTCAGACGCTGACGACCCCCGCCCGGCCTATGGGATCACTAGGCCCGGCGGGGAGGGCCCAACGGCCGCCAGTCTGTGGGGGTCGCTTAACAACCGCCCCCAGCCAGTTACAGGGTCTTTAGCAACCTTGTGCCGGGGGACGTTGGCGGGCGGTGGTTGGGCGCGGGTCGGACCCGCGCGAGCGCTGATCCGGGGCTGTCTCCTGCAGCTGGCGCATGCGATCCGCCTGCTTCTGGAGTTCACGGATACATCCTATGAGGAGAAACGGTACATTTGCGGGGAAGGTAATTTTCACTTTGGAACTCATACACCATTCCCCTAAGCCAAGCTGCCTCCACTGTCCTTGTCTTCCTGTGCCCAGAGTGGCATCACTCCACTCTGGTGGGACATCTGCCCCTATCACCAGGGAACTCCTTGCATTGCTGTGTGAGAAGTGCGTACTTTACATCGACCTGGGGATTCTCCTTACCTCCATGGCCCCAACCCTTCTTAATACTTAATCGAATGGTTCACAGAGACTGAAGTTTGGGGAGCTGGGTATTAGAAGTATTAGAACTAAGTCATTTCTAGATCTTTTCACTCTCTCATCAGGTGGGCTGTTAAAGATGTTGAGTCCCATTTCTCTTTCTCACAGCTCCTGACTATGATCGAAGCCAATGGCTGGATGTGAAGTTCAAGTTAGACCTGGACTTTCCTAATGTAGGTGTCCTAGGGAGAGGAGTGGGCAGAAGGGAAGGCCTTCAAGTATATCCATTTTACTGTTTCCTATTCTGATCTGAGAGGGTCTAGAATAGGGGTTCTTAACACGGATAGAAGAGATAAAAGGATCCTTGAACTAGAGAAAAAAAATTAATTTTATTTCTACTAACGAAAGTATTCCTCCATTGTGAAAAAGGGTAATAAGCAATGTGAGTTATTAGCTACATCTCTGACCTTATCATTAGTAAAAATCAGGTATTTTCATGCTCTAATAAATGTATTTTAGGTATCTCAAATGTTATATTCACTAAAATTACGGTGGTTATTACATCCCTTTGCTATTACATTAATAAGCACATATTACTTTAGCACAATTTTGCTGTAAAATGTTTTATAATTACCTAAATACATGCAATTTGCATTTTAAAACCTTATTCTGAAAAAGGTTTCATGGCATGCACATATGCACCCAATATACATAGACTTAAGAACCCTTGCTAGAATCAGGTGGAACCCATTACTACCTTCTACCTAATTTTTTAATTTCTCTTCACGCAGCATCTTCTCTCTCTTGTTTACCACCTTGTCAGTCTCCTCTTCCCCGGAAGAAAGAGATTGTCCATTTGGCTTCTCCTTTTCCTTTCAGCTTCCCTATCTCATGGATGGGAACAACAAGATCACCCAGAGTAATGCCATCTTGCGCTACATCGCTCGCAAGCACAACATGTGTGAGTTGGGTAGGGCTGGTGAGAGAAATCTGTTTGCTTACAGTGGGGTATATGATTTCAAGGGTGGTGGTTATTTGGCCTACAGGTGGTGATACCGAAGAAGAAAAGATTCGAGTAGACATCATGGAGAACCAAATAATGGATTTCCGCATGCAACTGGTTCGCCTCTGCTACAACTCTGATCATGTGAGTTTTCTCAGCAGGCATCAGCTGAGCAAATTTCCTTTCTGCTGTTGTTCCCACCAACCCAATCTGCAAGAATAGGAAATAGAACTTTTTTTGGGGGGGTCGGCGGGGGGTGCATGTTTTTGTCATGATTCTGATATGGGTTCCTCCACTTTTCCAAACCTTTTCTTTCCATTCTGCCATCTTGAAGTGAAGACAGTGAGAAGGAAATCCCTGGAGAAGGGGCTACAAAGTGTCCTTTCTTAGCCTGTGCTCTAATATATCTATATAGATGCTGGTGGTGGCTATTCTCACTGTCTTTCCCTCTCTTCCAGGAAAAAATGAAGCCTCAGTACTTGGAACAGCTACCTGGACAACTGAAACTATTCTCCTTGTTCCTGGGGAAATACTCATGGTTTGCAGGGGAAAAGGTAGGAAGTAGAGGAAAGGAGAGGATAGCTTTCTGTTTCTGCAGGTGTTCGTGAACTCCCCACACCTAACCATCTTATTTTCTCCTTCTAGCTTACCTTTGTGGATTTTCTCACCTATGATGTCTTAGACCAGAACCGTATGTTCGAGCCTAAGTGCCTGGATGAGTTCCCAAATCTGAAGGCTTTCATGTGCCGCTTTGAGGTAATGCTGTCTATAACTTTCTTACAGAAACATTCACAGGCTCCTTAGGCCCTCAGGGTCCCACTATAGTAGATGCTTGTCCAATACCATCTTTTACCTGAAGAGGTTGATGGCTGTATACCTCTGTGCTTTCAAGTCTTGGGCAGGGTTTCTACACCCCAAAGTCATAGTCTACAAGAAATGGAGAAAAATTGGAGGCAGGCAGCATGTGGATTTTGTTGTTTTGGTTTGGGTCTGTTGGGCTAGGTAAGGGTCCTTATAAAGTTTGGTGTGCTTTCCCTTCAGGCCTTGGAGAAAATAGCTGCCTACTTGCAGTCTGACCGCTTCTTCAAGATGCCCATCAATAACAAGATGGCCAAGTGGGGCAACAAGTGTATATGCTGAGCAAGAGAAACAGCTTGATTTGTTCCATCCTATACCTAGGGGCCAACACTCTTCTCTGCTCTTTCCAATAAATAGCTCTTGGGTTACCGGTGTCCAGCTGAATTTCTCTTGGGTATAAAGGCCAAAGGAGAGTAAGGATCTGTGAGCAACAACCAAGATATAAATTTAGTCACTGCAACATTAATATTCCCTTACTCCCCAACTGAGTTCAAGGCCTAGAAATTAATCATCAAAACTTGAGAGCAAGTATTAGAAATGTACTGCACAGTTGGAGAAGTTATTTTAAATGGGTCTATTACAAGGACATCATGTAAATACCCATTAATCCTGTAAAATACCATGTGGCAGTTAAAGAATGATACTGAAGTGTGTGAACTCACATGGAAGGATTTTCAAGACACATTGTTGAATTTCAAAATTAGTTTGCAAATTAATATATACAGCATGACATCTTTTATCATTTTTGAAAGTGAGAACGTGTGAGGTGTTTCCATATATACACAATGTAAGTGATTGAGCACTGGAGGGAAACAATGAAACTGATAACAAGGCTTACTTCAGACAAAGGGATGGAAGGCCCAGTCTTCAGGGTAGAACCTAAAGGGGAATTCTAAGATGCAGCCAAGTTTTCCTTTTTTTTTTTTTTTTTAACTAGGAGAATGCATTCATGACCTACTTACATAATCAAAACTAGGCTTTTTTTTTCCCCTTTTTTTAAATATATTTTTATTTTTTAGTTTTCGGTGGACACAACATCTTTGTTTGTGGTTCTGAGGATGGAACCAGGGCTGCACACACGCCAGACTAGCGCACTACCACTTAAGCCACATCCCCAGCTCCTCAAAACTAGTTTTAAGGAAACAAAACCTAGGGTAACTGATTCCTGTGGAAATTGAATTGTCATCAACTATTCCATTACGTAGCAAAGTCAGAAGTCCTTACAAAGTCAGAAACTCTTACAGCCTTAGGAGTTACCTGTGGGCCAGATTGCTATCCCCTGTGGACCAGAAGCCAAGGATCTCTGTAGTGGAGGGGAAAGGGGCTTGATGACTATAAGACCCAACGATGTAAGGAGGTGGCCTCAAGATGGGTAACACAGACATGTTCAACTGCCACCCCTGCCAGCAATAGTTTGTCCAGGCCCAACTTTTTAGGAATGGGGAACATATTGCTATAAAAGGTGTAAAGACAAGAAGTTTCTCTTCAGTCTAATAACTGATATAAATTTGTAGCATATGAGGGAATGGTGTGCTGTAGGGAAACCTTTTGGACTTAAATGAAAAGAATTGAGCATGCCTTGGGGACTAAATAGATGGCAACCAAAAATGAAAAGAGGGTATTTTATTTGTTGTATAATGATATTACCACAAATTTAGCAGCTGACATTTTTCATCTCATAGTTTCTATGGGTCAGGAGTCTGGCTCAGCTTTATTGGGTGCTTAGCTGTTTTCATCCCAAAGCTACACTCAAAATGTCAGTCAGGAATATGACATTAGCTCAAGGATCAGTTGGAGGAGGACCTCCTTCCAAGTTTATGTGATTGCTGATAGAATTCAGTTCTTTGTTGACTGCTGGACAGAGAACCTTAGTTTCTTGCTGGCTGCCAGCTAGAGACCAACTTCCCTTCCTTGCAAAAGGGGCTGCTCACCATGGCCACTTGTTTCATCAAAGCCAGTAAAGAAGTCTGGAAAGAAGGACACAGGATTCTTTGACATTACATCAATGACATTACATTGCTTTATCCTTTTCTATCAGAGGCAAGTCACAGGTCCTGTCCACAATCAAGGGGAGGGGATTGCACAGACATGAGTACCAGGAGGCAAGTTATAGGAACTATCTTACAATCTTCACCACAGGGTAAGAGACAAGGAAACAAGAAGTCAGTCCTGCAATCCTCTGTGTAAAGAATTCTGGAAAGAGCAGCATTGTAAGAGTTGAGCAGTCTCAAGTGAAAAGTTTAAAAAGCACAGGTCTGTGGTTAAAATGTATTTCACGTGCATTGCAGATAATAGACAAAGTACATCTTCTAATTTTTTTCTAGGTGTTAGGTTAGTGATTATCCACTTAACATTTACCCGTAACAAGCTTATTGACCCAGAAAGCTGGGAAGGTCA